AGCAGAAACATCATCAGGAATTGAGATTTAATTGAAAATGTGATGTTCCATGATATAGTTGCAGTCCTCTTATCAAACCTATAGTGCAAATCAGGGGTGGATTCTACTTACCTTTACTACCTGTTCGCATGCACAGATCACTTCTAATGACATCAGGATTAGTGGGCGGAGCCTCCCGCCAGTTTTACTATCAGTTCTATAGAACTGGTCCGAACTGGGGGCAACCCACCACTGGTGCAAATGAGTCAGGCTAATAAAAAGTGATGCTTTAAGAAATAAGGCAACCAAGTCAGGAGCTATAATTTTAGGTTCCATACTATGTCTAAATGAAATATTTCAGATGCCTTCTAAAGGCAACCACTTTAGAAGTGGTTTTCATCACTTGTCCAGGAAAAGCCCTTCTGAAGCTGTAGAATGCATTCCTTGGGAGTTTTGTTTGGTCTCTGACTCTGTACTGCTTCCATTTGAACAGCAACTCAGATAAACCCTTTTGGCCATAACCTTAAATATTGATGCAATTAAGCTTTGTATATTTTTAATGTAGTGTTTACCGGAATTTACTAGTTTTAATGTGTGTGTGTGTGTGTATGTTTGTGTTTAACATTATTATAAAATGAATGAATGAATGAAAGAAAGAAATTCTGGATCATATAGGTAGAAATAAAAGCACATATCCATATATTACCCCCCCGGTTGATTACTGATAAATATATTGCAATAATATATTTATATACGTGTTTCCACAAAAATAAGGCCCTGTCTTATTTTCTTTTGGGCTCCAAAATATGCATTCAGGTTTATTTTCAGGGGATGTCTTTTTTTTAATCACAAGGCCTGGCCCAGCTGGGTGTCCCACCCACCCACAGGTGCACAGGAGGCAGCAACCGCACAGAGGCCGACTGCAGCAGGAGGTAGAGGGAGGCAGGCGCCCAAAATGCATTGGCCTGCATGCCTTGGATCAGCTGCCGTGGAGTGTGTGTGTGTGTGTGTGTGTGTGTGTGTGTGTGAGAGAGAGAGAGAGAGAGGGAGAGGGAGAGGGAGAGGGAGAGGGAGAGGGAGAGAGCGCACCGCCGCCAGCCTTGGTATAACTCTCCAAGGTTGGATCGGATCTCTCTTTCTCTCTCTCTCACACACACAGAGGTTGGATTGGATTGTTCTCTTGCGCTCTCTCTTTCTCTCTCTGTGGAGGAGGCAATGGTGGCGTTTCGGTGCCTGACAGGATGCTTCTCACTCGGCCGCTTTCCCTCTTTTTTCTCCCCACTCCTCTTTCAGACAAAGCTGCACTTTTCGTCTGTCCTTTGCAGTGCACCTAGGATTTACTTTGACAGTGGTGGGGCTTGGGGGATGGTCAATCCCTGTTCATGGTGTGGCTGCAGACTACAGAGGAGGAGAAGGCAGAAGGCAATCCCACCCAACAGACCAGCCTGGCAAGGGTGTTGGGGGTAGGAAACCAAGGGGCACTAAAAACAGCTGAAAGTGTGGCATTCAAGCCCTGGAAGATATGGTAGTTTACAGGGACAGGGTTGGCTGAAATTCGCACTTTCCATAATCTTCCAGGGCTTGAACACCACACTTTCAGCTGTTTTTGGAGCCACTCGGTTTCCCACCCCCCACCCCCACCAGGCTGGTCTGGTCTGGTGCGGGGACTGGAAGATGGAAATCTTCCCTGCTGTTGTGGTCTGTGACCATGCCATGAATGGGGATTGACCATCTCCCAAGCCCCACCAGTGAGTCGGTGAGGGGGTGGAGGACAAAGCAAGGCAGGGGGTGCATAGCTGCCCCATGTGCCTCACACCAGCTTACCTGAGGGACCCACATCCAGGCCATCAACATCCTGATAACTGCCTCATCTTGCGGTAGCTTCAGCAGCCCTGTCCAGGACCCAACGTGCATCAGGACCCCCTGAGTGAATCACTCATTCTCCTGCTCCATTGTGGCAGTGAGCAAGGAGAAGTGGGCCGGCGGCCATGCAGGGTCCTGGACAGGGTTTCTGGAGCTGCCACTGTGAGGCCAGGTAGTTGTCAGGACACTGATAGCCTGGCTTCGGGGCCCTCAGGTAAGCAGGTGTGGGATGCATGGGACAGCTCTGCATCCCCCACCTCGTTTCATCCTCCACTCCCCCACCACCTCATTTCATCCTCATCCCCCACCCCCACCCTAGCTTGATTTTTATGCCTGCACCTTGCCTCACTTTGTACAACCAGATGGTGGGCAGACTTAACTAGGGCTTATTTTTGGGGTATGGCTTATGTTAGGTGCAGGTGTGAAAATCAGATTATGGCCTCTTTTTGGGGTAGGTTGTATTTTCGAGGAAACACAGTAGTTTATATTTATTTATATAGATTCTCCCCCTTGCGAAGCATGCCCACAATCTATAAACTTCTACATATATTTACAACCAACTTAACTTGACATCTATCTACTATATGTACAAAGGAAACAGTAAATCAACAGCAAAGTTAAACCTCAAAGCCTTCTGTTAAAAATCTATTATTGTATTCAACTCATAAAAAGTCTACAGTAGCTTCTTAACTGCTACAAATCACTGCAATCATTATCTCTGATCCATCCAGGATCAAATATCTTCATTTAGTTTTTAATAATAAAACTTTTCCTTAAGAGTTTTATTGGAAACTTTGCCAACATTATCTCATCTTCCAGTACCCTATAGCCCTGCTGTAAATATCTTCATTACATCCATTGTGAAGCAGCCTCAAAACAAAATATAATTGTCAGTTGTTGTCTGGTTAAATGTAATAAATCTGTTTTCCAAAATTGATCCATCCTCCCAGAAAAGTCCAATCCAAATTGTTCTTCATTTGGGTAAGTCTATCTTCTTAAGAAAGTTCAATTCATAATTCATCAAATCTGCCAATTCTAATCCTGCAAAATGCAAATCTCCTTCAAATTTCTGCAATAAGCCTCCTGTTTTCCAGCGAAACTGGTCCTTTTTCTGATATGCCAGCATGGACTTAAATTCCAGTCCATCCAGTTGTAGTGGGTGTGATTGTTTGCCTCTGGATATTATCTTTAGGTTGGTTTGAAATTGATAGCCAAATCTGGCCCTAGGTTCTGCCTCAATTTACCTTCCCAATAAGCAACCAAGTCGGAAGATCATTTAAAAGCAGTTTATTAGGGTACCCTAATAAAATGGGATCTTTCTATGAAAAAGGAGAGAGAACCTCAAGCCCCATATTTCACTCCTTTTTATAGTTAACACAACAAAAAAAAATGCAAGAGGAAAGTTGATTGGACAGGATAAAATTAAGCTCCCCTTTACATAGGAAATCAGTTACATGTAATGAAACATGTTACATATTTGCATCTTACAATATCACACATGTTCATTAAAATGAGGTGTGACATCAGAAAAGGCATAAATTGTATGGAAAAAGGTTTGGAGTTCACAAAAGAGATAAACCAGATCCCAATTTGTACTAACAGCCTTTTTCTTATCTGGAGCTAATTTCCAGCCTGTTTATCAGTTTAGGAATGTTAAAAGCCAACAAATCTGAGCATCTTTTTAAAAGAGAGAAAATAAATCAAATTAAAATGCAAATGTTGGAAGAAATATCCATCTGGTTCAGTTCCAAGCTGGGAGAAAGACATTGGAAACATGGAGGCTGATTGGAAAGATGGTTTAATGATGAAGCAGAACCACCAAGCACATGGTTCTCTGGTGCAGCTGAACACATAGAGCTCTTCTCTTGGGCTTTGAACTTGAACTTTCTGTTCCTATGCAAGAACATATATTCTACTGGCTCTTGTAGAGATCATAGCTAGCTCTGTAGGTTGTCCCAAGTTTGGTTGAAGTTTGCTGGGTGATGCAATGTCTTTAGGAGATTGTGCAATGTGGTGATCTCTGTTACTAGTGGATTAATCCTATTATGTCCTGGAGGGTCATGTCTTAATCCCATCATCCTGGAGCTGAAGGTCTTTTGCTTTGTAGATAGGATGGCCCAGTCTCTTTTAATGGGCACAAAATATCTGCTGCGGGGGAGAGAGCTGGGGCTGAGTTTCTGTCTCCCTAAAAATTTTTAATTTCTCTTTTAGGGGAAATATTTTATCCTGCCTTTTTTAATATTCCTCAAAATATTTCATTCTTCTAGGAGAGGGGTTGATGCTAAATTTCTACACAAAGTAACTATGTTAGTTAGCAAGTTACAAAATCCATGTCATATACCATAACCCAGGTAATATCATCAAGCTTTTTACCAAAGTTTTCAATTTTAACTTTAGATTAAAAAACATTTTTTCTGCAAAGATAGCCCACCAGCTATTAACCTTAAATTGGTGCATTATTTGCATTTTTAATATAAAGCAGACTCGAAAAAATCCAGACCAGAATATTTTAAGAGTTAAATTCTGTAGTGAAATCCAATATAGATTTGGTCAGTTTTACTACTCAGAAATTTGCCAATAGGGAAAGTGAAAGTTAATAAAGCAATGAAAGAAAGTTAACATTAAAGTCCAGCAAGGGGTTAGACTAAATCAGCCTTCAACCAGTCAATTAACTTTTAAAAATGAGAAGCAAATTAAAAGAATTTTTTTTTTTTGAAATGTGCAGTATAAAGTCAAGGCGAGCTTAAAAAAACCAAAGAGCTGAGAGGAAAAATGGAGACAGTATTTTAACTTTTCGAACAAAATAAAAAAATTAAAAGTAAGCAATAAAAGTGAATAAGAATTGAGAATTCAAGGATTTTCTAGGGACAATCATTTTTTTTAGTTACCTTGATAGTTTTTAAATTGTTTTCTAGTTTTTTTATATTCTTAAAGTTTGTATCCATACGTTTTGTTTCTCTTCTTTAGTTTTATTAAAGCAATTTTTAAATAAAAAAAGCAGTGATAAAAATAAATTAATCTGTTAGTTGAAAGATAAGCAGTAAGGATTTCCTTTAACCAAAGATTTAGAGGCACATTGTTTTTTGTCTACTAGTAGGCAACACAACGTGTACGTCATTTGATTTAATATTATTTATTTGTGTTGGTTTTGAATGTAGTGCTGCCAAGAGGTTTGGTACTCTGTTTGTGAATGTTGATGTTACCTCTGAGCCGCATGAGGTTTCTGCTCTCTGGTTCCTGTGGTATGTTAAACAGTGTGGAGGTACAGCCAGAATATTTTCAACAACCAATGGAGGCCAGGTGGAGTATACTGTTAATTTCTTTGCACTGTTATGCATTTGATCCTCATGGCACTTCTCAATCTGTGCAACTCCTCCTGCACAAAAGTTCTCTCATGGTGCCCCATGAGTAATTAACTAAGTTTCCATTCTTTCAAAAATTAATTGATTTGTTGAGCCTGGGGAGTAATTGAAAAGTTGTGGTATATAGATTGAGCACATATATTGCATTCTAAGTAGTTCAATTCTTGATGGTTTTTCACAGTTGGGGAAACCTTTTTGTTTAAAAGCTTTATCCTGGGCTTGCTGAGAATGGCTGTGGATGGATTTGCATTTGTGTGTGCATGCACTTTTACTCAGACTTGATTCTTGATGACTGCCTAGACAAGCTTTCTTGGCAACATTTTGAGAAGTGGGTTTGCCATTGTCTTTTCTTTTTCAGAAAGTGATTAGCCTAAGATCACCTGGCTAGTTTTTGCCTAAGATAGAACTAGAACTAGAATTTCCTGTTTCTATCCTAGTTCCATTACACCAAACTGGCAGAAAATACAAAATGTGTTTGCTTGAAGGGTTGAGGAAACTGTCCTTTGGAAAGCTTTCTTGTTGTCACTGCATGCATGTGCATATAATACCAATTTGCTTTGCTCTACATGATCAAATAGATGAAGAAAGTAGTTTTCTTTTGAAAGAGATGACTGCCTCAGCCCTTTAAGAATGAGTACTTAATGCCAACATACTTTCCAAATGATTCATGTTACTATTTTCAAAATTATTACATAACTATGTAAGTGTGTGAAGAATGTGAAACCCTCCATTTTATCTTGTTTTATTTACATTTTCTTCTGTTCTCTTCCCAGGAGAGAAAGTTCATTGGAGGCGCTGGACAAATTAGTGAAAAAATTATGGAATATCTGGGAAAGCGAGTTAAATTAGAGAAGCCTGTAACATATGTTGATCAGACTGGTGGAAATGTCATAGTAGAAACATTGGGCCATGAAAGATATGAGGTAATTTAAATATTTGAATTTTAAGATCTGTGTCCTTGTTTTTGTTCTTATGAGGGAAAGAGGAAATGAAAGTGCTACACACATTATATAAAAGCAAAGCTATTAATTGGGTGCATTCCAATCACAAAAATGTGTTACTGTGAGTAAAAACAGCCTGCATTGTCCCAATACAAGAACTTAAAAGTTTTTGCTTCTTATTTGTGATGAACTCCAGTTTCTTTGCACCAATAAAACTACAGCCTTAGAAATCATAGTTCCACACAAGAACCCTTCTAAACAACATGAAATTACGGCTTGAGACACTTGTGGGTAACATATCAGTTTGTATAAACCATGGTTTTTATCAGTCTTGGAAAAATGGCAAATATAAAAATGAAAATGAGGAAGGAATGCTTTGAATGGTCACACAACCAGATGGCTGCAAAGAATATACATCTTTCCATCCCCCACCTTTCAGTCAGAATTGAAGAAGCTTCTTGGATGAGAAGCAAAATGTTTTCAAGGAAAAAAAACAAGAAAATCCAATGGCTTTTTGGAAAAACACCTTTGGGACAAACCATGACCTGGATGATTGAGAATCTCCATAGATAGTGCCCCATCCCATTTTCAAGACACTTCCTGAATCCAACAATACTGAACAATATTTATCAAGTGTCTCTCTTTTTAGAAAGGTTGTTTAGAAGTGATCAGTTTGCAGCTCCACTCCTCCCCACCCCCGGCTTCCCTCAAGGAAACAGATTATTCTGGACCATTTTCTGTCAGTTTCAGACAGAGATATAGTACCAAAATAGCATTGATCACACTTATTGATGACCTTTGACAGGACTACTTGATCTCTCAGCAGCATTAAGTATTATTGCTCATGATATCCTTCTGGACTAGGAGTTAGGGTTAGGGAGATGAGATATTGTGGTGAATCTCCTCCTATCAGAGGCAGTTACAACAGGTGTTGATAGCATAGGGGAGAGAGATCTCATCCTAGTCTCCTGTTTTGTGGAGAGAGGGTTCTACCCTCTCTCCATTACTATTTAATATCTACATGAAGCTGTTTTGTGAGATCATCTATTGCATGGGTGTCTAACACAAGGCCCACAGGATGGATCTGGCCTGCAATGTGGTTGGATCCGGGCCGTGGGCTGTTCTGGAAAATGTAAGGGGCCAGCCCGCATCACTTCAGCCTGGTCTACCCAATCCCGGTGGGCGCACATATGAAAAGGCAACATTGGGCCAGCGTGGCTTCAGCCCAGTCTACCCAGTGCAAAAAGGAAACATCGGGCCAGCATAGCCTCAGCCCAGTTTACCCAATGCAAAGTGGAAACATCGGGCCAGTGTGGCTTCAGCCTGGTCTACCCAATGTGAAGAGGAAACATGCCTGCAGTTTGGGGATCAAGTTGGCTATGCCCACCCAGCTGGCCAGGCCAGTGAGTGGTGTCAAGCTGGCCATGCTCACCCAATTAGCCACACCAACCCAGTCAACTATACCCATCTGGCCCCCCAAGGTCAACCACAGCCCTGATGTGGCCCTCAATGAAATTGAGTTTGACACCCCTGAGTTATTGGCATGAAATTAGATATCAACAGTATGTTGATGATACCTACTTAGACATCTTCACCCTAGGCTGACCAAGTGCTACCATCAAGATTGTTTCATGGTATGTGGAAGCCTTGGGAGTCTGAATAAGGAAGGTCGGGCTTTAGTTTTTAACCAAAGTAAGACTGTGTGAGTTTTAGGGTTTTCCAATTCTGGGGACTTCAATCTTTATTTCTAGGTGAGGATGTGAAATTTGGAGTTTCTCTTGGACTCTCAGCTTCTTCTAAAAGAGAAGTGACAGCCCTGGTCAAGAACTTTTCCTAAATCCATCTTGCACACCAATTGCTCCTCTTCTTTGATTAGGAGGCCTTACTCGCAATCATTTCTTTTATAGAAGAAAAGAAGTATACAGCATGTACAGCATGTACAGCCCTATATACAGCACTATTTCAATGTGCTGTACATAGGGTTGCCCTTGAAGACCATCTGGAATCTGCAATTCATCCAGTATGCAGTGGTACTGGTACCTACGGGCACATCATAGTATATCTATGCAACATCATTACTTTGCATGATGCAGAGATTCCATTTAAGTTTCTGCAAGCAATTAAGAGTCCTGGTTACTATCTATAAAGGATCAGGGTTTTTTTGTGGACTGCATATTTCTGACTGTCTGCCCATACCACAGGTTCGATAGGGTGGTTGTTTCAGATCCCTTCTATAGAATTATAGCAATAGCATTTAGACTTATATACCACCTCATAGTGCTTTATAGCATTCTCTGGGCAATTTACAGTGTAAGCATTATTTGCATATTGCCCCCAACAATCTGGGTCCTCATTTTACTGACCTCAGAAGTATAAAGGCTGAGTCAACCTTGAGCCCTGTCAGTATCAAATTCCAGGCTGTGAGCAGAGTTTACCTGCAACTCTGCATTCTAACCATTGCACCACCAGGGCTCTTTTATGTCACTTAGCAGGACCTAGGAATATGCCTTCTCTGTTGCAGTACTTGCCCTTTGGAACAGCATACTGTCAGAGTGCGCACAGCTTTACTATGTGAGACAACCCAGGAGCAATAACAGCAAATAAAGGTTTGTTATAAAATAGTGGTTTTATCTAGAAAATAATATATACTATACATACATGTACTATAGGCAGAGGTCAAACAACCAACAATTACAGCAGGGAAAAACACACAGTGAGAGAGAGAAAGACACCTTCTTATTATTATACAGGCTTTTAAAGGGATAACAGCCAAAAAACCTTGCTGACGGATTCCCATCATTATATCATTGCATCATTGCAGCAGCTGGTCAGCTCTTAAATCACTACCCTGACACGTACTGCATGAGATGTTATTGGACCTAATGCTGTGGACCTTCCATATGATCTTGAAGACTTACAATAGTTCTTCCCTTAAATCAGAGTATTGCATGAACTTGATCTGTAATGGCTTTGAATCTGGAATATCTGGGGTTGGCTTAGCTGTGCTATATAGTACTGTACTGTGTATTTCTGTGTTTGACATAGATAATTTTTGTTTCTTAACTGGATGTGAGCCACCCTGAGTTGCTATTTGTGAATTGGGTAGGCATATCAAGCAATCAGATGAGATCAAGACAAGACAAGATCTTGTTAACAAGCCAGAGATTCCAATTCAATCATGCCAAATGTGTATTATTGTGGGAGTCTGTTTTCTTGATCTGCTATAACTGGGACTTCCATGCCACAGAACTGTGATTGTGTTGTGTAACAACAATTTTGTTTGCATTTCTTTTCAAGGCCCAATATGTTATTAGTGCCATCCCTCCAGTGCTTAGCTTGAAGATTCATTTTAACCCACCTTTGCCTTCAATGAGGAATCAGATGATTAATCGGATTCCTATGGGGTCAGTCATCAAGTGTATAGTATACTACAAGGATGCATTTTGGAAGAAAAAAGGTATTTCATGTTAATTGAATGGGCAGGGCAAAAGGATAATGTATTTACAGCTTATTCTTAGTGCATCAGTTCCTACTTTTATGAAGGCTCCAAGAGATTTGTGTGTGCAAAAGTATGCCTTTATCTCATGCTATATTTCACTGGTGTAAAATTTGGAAATATAGCCTAGGGCAAATGTATTGAAAATAATATAGTGTATACTTTTGTGGTATTACATAGGCATAAAAACTCAAGAGGGCACATACAGAGTTGTCCTGCAATGTCTTGTTCTTTCACTTCTTAACTTCAGCAAGATCTTGAAAGAAATGACAAACATTTTGCCATTATAAAAAGTGGTTTGTAATAATAATTATGTAATATTTTAAAACAAGCAAGGAACAGGAAAATAGGAAAACAGACCATGTATAGTAAAATCATTCGGCCAGAGTCAATAATATAAAATACTAATAAAACCCCACACATATATATATATACACACACACACACACACACATGCATACAAATACGTATCATTTATTTTCTTTTTTACATTCAATTATTTCAACCAGACCTCCTTGAGATTGATGAATGTTTTAAAGATCTTGTTGTATCCCTTATCTTTGACAATGCCTGTGATGCACTGTAGAGGAAAAACACAGTTACATAATAGAAATGTAATGTTTAGAAAATCAGTGATGATGGTTCTGAAGCCATTCTTATAATCTTACAGTGTTTTTATCACTGCATAATTCTGAGCCTAAATCATTTAAACCTCCTATATGATTCTGAGTTCAACTCATAATATCCACATATGAGTAGATTTTAGGATGATGGAGAAACAGTTCTTTGTGGGACCTTACCAAAAGGTAGCCACTCCTGATTATCCTAACAGTTCATAGTGCTATTTACAGTACATTTGTTTTGTTGCAAAAGAATTGCAGATATGTCAATTATTACTTATTGTCATAATGAACATTATGATAAAGCACTTGGGAGCTTTTATTAAGGAAGTATCATATTCACTAAACCTAGTAGAAATGCTGATATCTGGATGGACCTTTCTCCCCTCCCCCCCAGATTATTGTGGTTCCATGATTATTGAAGATGAAGATGCCCCAATTGGGTTGGCATTAGATGACACCAAACCTGATGGAAGCTTTCCAGCCATAATTGGGTAAGAATTGCTTCAGAGATGAAGGGTGAAAAGTAGGATTCTAAAAGAGAATTAACTGTCTTGAGTAACAGTTGTAACTATATTGTACACTTGTGCATTCATCGAAAAAAGTATATACAATCAAATATAAAAATCTGTCTATGAGCAAGAATTCTCATAGATTTGAAATAGGGATAATTATTGTCTTGATCTTATATGCTTTACTTTTTACATGTTTAGGTAAAAAATATGTTTGTTACACAGAAATATTGAAACAGATATTTTCATCCTTTAATCAAAGAAATTCAAATATTTCCACACCCATGAATATTTTATTGAAATATTATTCTCTGTTGAAAGCAGATTATTTTTCATCAAACTGAATAGAAAGTGGCAGAAAAATGAAGAATGTTACTATGTGCACTAAATAATTTATAAAACAGGTTATTTTTTCTTCTGTTTTCCATCAGAATAATAAAATAAATCATAAGAAGAATCTGGCTAGATCAAAATAATTGCAGCACAATCACCAACTAAGTTGTAACCCATGGGTTACAAATAACAGACTCTCCCAGACAATACTTTATACAGCAATTGTATATAGTGCCTTTGTGCGGGTTTTATGGGTTTCGCCTTTAATTGAGAAAAAAAATACTTCCCCTTCTATAACAATTTGGAAGTATTGATTGAAAATCCAGTACTGCTTCATATTTTGAAATATGGAAATATGCTATTAACTGGAATCTGAAGATTTTGGAAGTGCTTTTTAGGAAATCATTAAAACTTAACTAACATAAATTGATCCTGTTGTGAAATGATTAAATGGTAGAAGAAATAATATTTATTTCTTCCATTTTTTATTTTAAATTTCAGTTTCATCCTTGCCCGAAAGTGTAGAAGACTGATTAATCTCACCAAGGAAGAAAGGTATGAACAATAACCCTTAATGGTTTATATTTCTAGAAGTAAAAAAAATGGGAATCGTTTCCCCTCCTATCCATTTTCATTCATTGGAAGGCCAAGGAGAGGCTACTTTCTTACTTTCTGAAGTAACGTAAGAAGAAGGGGTGGTTCGATCCCTTCTCAAGAAGCCTGCCCTGGATCCGGCCACCCTGAATAACTTTCGTCCCGTCTCCAACCTTTGCTTTATAGCGAAGGTTGTTGAGTCTGTGGTGGCACGCCAACTTCCACAATTCCTGGAGGAAACAGTTTATCTAGACCCGTACCAATAAGGTTTCAGGCATGGACACAGCACGGAAACGGCATTGGTCGCCCTGGTGAATGATCTCTGGCGGGCCCGGGATAAGGGTTATTCCTCTATTCTGGTCCTACTTGACTCTCAGCGGCTTTTGATACCATCAACCATGGTATCCTACTGCGACTACTTGGGGGGCTGGGGGTGGGGGGCACTGTTCTACAGTGGTTCTCCTCCTACCTCTCAGGCCGTACGCAGTTTGTTTGGGCGGGGGGTCAGAGATCCTCCCCGAGGCCCCTCACCTGTGGGGTGCCTCAGGGGTCGGTTCTCTCCCCCTTGCTCTTTAACATCTACATGAAGCCACTGGGTGAGATCGCAGTTTCAGGGTGAGATATCATCAGTATGCTGATGATACCCAGCTCTACATCTCCACCCCGGATCAACCCAGGGATGCCCTTTCCATGATGTCTAAGTGCCTGGAGGCGGTGCGGGTCTGGATGGGTAGGAACAGGCTCAGACTCAACCCCTCCAAGACTGAGTGGCTGTGGATGCCGGCATCTCATGGTATAGTACCCCCATCACTCCAGATGGGGGGGAGTTGCTTACTCCCTCTGAAAAGGTTCGCAATCTTGGCATCCTCCTAGATTTGCAGCTGTCCTTGGTGGACAATCTGACGGCCGTGACAAGGGGGCCTTTTGCACAGGTTCGCCTGGTGCGCTATTGCGCCCTTTCCTAGACAGAGATGCCCTCCGTACAGTCACTCATGCTCTCATTATCTCGCGATTGGATTACTGCAATGCCCTCTACATGGAGCTGCCCTTGTGCACCCGGAGGCTCCAGCTGGTCCAGAATGCGGCCGTGCAGGTTGTTACGGGAGCTTCCCGCTACTCCTGTATTACACCACTCCTGCATGAGCTGCACTGGTTACCGGTGGTTCTTCGGATCTGCTTCAAGGTGCTGGTACTTACCTATAAAGCCCTCCATGGCATGGGCCCGGGGTACTTGCAGGATCACCTCCTACCAGCCTCCCACTGCCCAGTACGTTCACATAGGACTGCCCTCCTCCGGGTGCCTTCGGCCAGACAATGTCGGCTGATGGCACCCAGGATGAGGGCATTCTCTGTGGGCGCACCGACCCTCTGGAATGGGTTACCCACTGAGCTCCGGACGGCCCCCGACCTCCGCTCTTTCCACGGTGACCTGAAGACATGGCTTTTCCAACAAATTGCCTGATCTGCTGGGAGTCTTAGTTTTAATTTCTTGGGGATTTTAATTGGATTATTTTAGTATTAATTTTATTGTTCTGTTGTTTTATCTTTGTGAGCTGCCCCGAGTCCTTTGGGAGAAGAGCGGCATATAAGTATGAATAAACTAAACTAAACTTTCTAGCTTGTTGGAGATCAAGATAGCAAATTCTGTCTAGACAGCTTCACAGAAAATCAAAGTCACAAAAACCACAAAAAGGCTTTCTCTCTGGGAGACTTGGTATTTCAAACATTTTACCCTCAGGGTCTTTACCATTCCTCACCTACTGACATTTCATAATGCTGGGAAAACAACTTTATTCAGGTGGACTTTCAAACTCAAAGATGTTTATGTTGTTTTTTTCTCCCCCTTTATATGGTTTTTAAAAATACTTTGTGGAGTAGTTATTTTAATATTAGAGTAAAATATTTTACTCTATTTACTTTTGTGATGGTTATTTTATTCAATGCTGGAGTAAAATGTTTTGAGCCTAGAAAAATAGTCTATTATCAACTTCTCTATTTGCGTTGAGTAGGCATTGCCTATTGCTATAATTGTGCTTTTTTCAGTATTGAGCTACAGACTTGCATAATCCACCTTTCACCACGAATAGATTTCTGCTCTGACAACATCATACCTTGGCTCTTGGTTTTCACATTCAATGTATCAATACACAAATATATTTGCTGGGACAAAGTTTCCATTTCTCTCTAGCCAAATCAACAGATAGAAGTTGTTTTTATTTTAATCCAGCTACATCACAAGCACAGCCATATTCATACTTGATTTTGTTTTCCTCCAATAGTTTGGCACCTACAGTATCTTCTGACTTCAGGTGCTCCTGTCTATTTTCTCTTGATTGTAAATGTCGATTAAGCTTTCTTGACAAATTGAAATGGGCCACCATTTTCTTCTCCAATGGATTATATTGAGGTGACCAGTCTCTATGATCAGCCTGTTATGGATAACCCTTAGGGGAATCTCTGCTCTTGATAGAATCACTCATAGCATCAAGCTCCTCTATCTCTACATGGTATCTATTCACAGAGTAGCATATTAGCATATCTTTCTCAATTCTTGCTTGGCACAGAAAACAAAAAAAGCAACAATCTTCATATTAGTTCATTTTTTCTACAGTGTCAATATTACTTCTTTATATGTATCTATTTTTGATTGGTAAAGAGAGGTTTACTCCCTGTCTCTGTCTCTCTCTCTCTCTCTCTCTCTCTCACACACACACGGTACCATGTAATTTCAAAAGATTAGCTATTAAAACCAGGATGTGGATCATTTTGTCTCATCTAGGATAAAAATATTTGGTCTGATGCATAGTTAATTATCTGACTGAGGATTTATTGATAATATTAACAGCACCATACAACCATGACACGTGCATAGTTTAGACCTCCCTGCTCTCCCAAGCATCATACAGTATTTGGGAAATCTGTCTAAATAGAGATTACAGTTTTCATGCATGGATACAAAATATTTCTTTTGAGCAAGCAGTTGAAAGCAATTTGAGAAACCAGTTTGTAGGAAGCACATGACTCTTGCTAAAAGGCAGCCTATGATGTACAAGTCAAATCCGTTTTGAACCTAGAAACTCCCACTGGTCAGCTGTTGATAGGGAAAGACATATGCCTCATCTTTTGTCTTTGAATGGTCATTTGTAAGACTTTTGTCAATAGTCCCAGGTTCCAGCCAAATACAAGTATCCGTTTGTAATTCTGATGTCTCTTCCCGTTAACAACTACCTTACATGCAGATTGCAGACATTGTTTAAATATATGTTTGGTTTCTGAGATTTGGCTTTGACGACAACAACAAAAAAAGACTGTGGAAGGCAATTTCTACAATACGGCTTCAATCCTTGCAAACACAAATGATTAGCAAATCTTAAAAGATGAGTTAAAATCAAAACAAAAGCTACTTCAAAGAGGCAAGGTATATCTCATTAATGTTTCTCTCACAGGAAAACACAGATCTGTGAGCTCTATGCAAAGGTGCTGGGAACACAAGAAGCCTTACATGTAAGAACTTAATTTCTAATATATCAGGTTTTTTTAAAGTAGCATTGAAAATTCTTGAACCTTAGCAGATATGTTAAGATATGTGTCTACAATTGGAGAAGCCAAGCTGAAGCTAAATTTCAAGATAATGATTGGTTTCAGTCACAGGCCAGGTTAGCAAAAGGCCAAATGTGAGGGCAAATTTAATTATTTATTATTGTCAAAATATTTCTAGAGTCTTCTCCAATTGTGTAAATTGGGTAAATGAGGAATCTGATAAGTGTACATTCAAAGAAGGTTCAGATATTATTTTATAGTTCAAAATGTGAGAGATTGTTTAATATACTTCAGGATTAAACATTGTAAGTTAATAGCTTACAAAATATGAAAATAGTAATTCAACAGTTGATAATTTTAATATTCTTGTATCACTCACATACATTAAGAGATCTGGAAATGGGAGAAGAATGCAAATAAAGAAGTATATAAATCCAATATATATAAAATATAAGATTTGCAGATGAAGTTTTTATTGAATAAACATTCAGCTTCCTTCACATAGTTTTGTGAGGAATTTTCATATGAAGATTTCCTTGGAAATGAAATGACATGGGAAATTAGTGAATTCAAAGTGTTCTATTTATTTTGTAAAGTATCTATTTTTGTCTCCTTTCATTATTTGTTAATGACGATTTTGTAGCCAGTGCACTATGAAGAGAAGAATTGGTGTGAAGAGCAATATTCTGGAGGATGCTATACAGCTTATTTTCCACCCGGGATTATGACTCAGTATGGAAGGTATGGTGATCATAAGTAAGAATGTTAAGATTAAAGAGTTAATGAAGAATATTAAGGACTTCATGTTCTGTTAATTCAAACCAATTTCTTTAACTTGCTCCATAGATATAACTTCTGGGGATTGTGTAAAGAATTGCACAATTGATTAAATATTTTTACAGAATAACGATGGCATTTTGTAGCTATACACTATATAGACAACAAATGGTCCCTGCAACAAGATAACATTTGTAATTGGAAAATATATTTAGGAATTATTTAATGTATTATCCTATAAAATAGTGCATATTAATTTGCAGTTCAAAATCTATATTTATAATAGATTTAATATTGTAACTAAATATTAAAACTAATTATATATTAAACTGATAGTTTATTTACTGTCTTTAATGCCTTGATCCAGTAAGAGTGATGGATTTCAGTGATTTTATATCTATTTATTCCTTTGCTATTTTAGTTTCCATTAAAACTACTAGATTGGGACTGGATAAATATAATTGCTTTTTATAGCCATGATAAATTTATGTATCTCTTTCCATATATACAGAATGATATTATGCTTTATATCATTTTTGCATAAAGTGATATGTGTTGTAGCAAGTCATGCATGAAACATTTATGGATAATTAAGTGTAGCCTTCTTGAGCAATGATTTGGGGCTAATTTCAGGGTTCAGCAGGTCTTTGACATTATTAATAGATTACTCTGAAAAAACATCAGAAAAACACACCCTAAAGCAGAAAAGCACACAGGTGTGCTCCCTGAGTTCATAGAAAAAGATTTTTAAAAATATCATAACTTTCATTGTTTTATCAATGTATAAAATACAAAGAAGAATAAAAATAGGAAATTAAGGGAAGAAAAAAGAGAGAAAGAAAATATGAGGTACAAGAGAAGAAAGAAAGAAAGTTTTTTGGTTTTTTTTTTTCTATGTTTTATTTGCAGTTTTCCTTTAACAACCAACATATTTTGTGGATTGTGTAATGACTGGGTCATTACATTTTTACACAGTGCTAACAATAATAATACAATTACATATACATAGTTTTTATCTTCCAACTTCTAACCTTAACATGCTCATTATAATTATAATTTATTCTTTTATGTATCAATATGTATAATACTTTCCCCCGAATTTGTACTTATCCCCCCACCCAATTTGTTGTGGTTCTTCCATATTCACCTCTTTATCTTTAAACAGTACTATTCTCCTTATAATTCTTTATCGCTTTCTCCAAAAATATATTTCAACATCCATTACATTTCTTCATACAATGTGTTTGTTGACCCATCAAGTCACCAATATTTTAATATTTTAAGTATTACTCAAATTCCACCGTATTTCCACTATCTCAGTTTCTTATAAACACCAATAAAACAATTTATTAATAAGATTTAATTGGTCCCGGGATTAAATCTCAGAGTCCCCTGAATTTGTAGTCTTTAAAAGCTATAAATTTCATTATATTTTTTGCACACGGTTAATCATAATAATACATTTAAATATGCCTAATCGCAATCTTCCATCTCCTAACCTTAGTATATTTATGGTTATAATAAATTCTATTATATATCTCTATATATGTTACTATTTCCCCAGTTCATATTTTCTGTTTGTTTCTATTAGTTTTTAATACAATCACAGTATTACAAGACATTATGACTCTATCCGTCATCTTTCAGCCTTTTTAGAATTTCATCATTTATTGACTTTTTGGTGATTTATTTCTCTCTTGGGATCCTATATTTCTTTCTAATATTTTTACATAGACTGTATGTCCTTCTGACTTACCCCTTATCTCCTTCTGCATCATTTGGATACCCATCCATAGCCCTTTCATTATTTTTGGGAAGTCTTTTTCCCCCCTCTGTACTATTGTAGGCTCTTAAGGAATTATCTATTCAATTCTTAGCTTTTATTGTTATTGTCTTTTCATTGTTTTTGTTTTCTTGTAGCTTATTTTGATTTGTCTCCTCCACCACTCCTTCTGATTTCTCATCTATCTTCTGAATATTTTGTTCATCTTTTCCCACCATTTGTTGAGGATCTTCTACACTCACTAGTTTATCTTTGGACAATCCCATCATTTCCTTATGATTCTTTGTCATACTTTCATAACAACTTTTAGCTATCATTAACATTTCTTCATAGAACTTTATTGTCTCCTGCTGAATCATTTTGTACCAGTTTAATACATTAAAAATTACTCAACATATCTCTAATATTCCAGTGTCCCAATATCTTAAAAAACTCCAAAAAAGTCAATTATTAATAAAATTTATCAATCCCAGAATTATTCCTCCAAATCCCCTAGCTTTCTAGTCCTTAAAAGCTCTAAATATATAGTTTACAGTCTTTATAGTTTCCAACTTACACCTTCCCAATTGTCCAAATTTTAGAGTCTTATTTGTCTTTTCTTCTTTTTCTCCTCCCTCCCGCTTTTCTTCTTTTGCCTCATAGGATGATCTATCAAATGATGTTAGTGAATCAAATCAGCTTAGCCCACCAGGTTTCCTCAACTTTCTCAAAACCACCTTTCAATGAACAGTTCAATAAAGTTTTGGTATTTATAGTTCAGTTGCTTTAAAAATCTTCAAACAGCTCAGTAGATATTTCCAAGCCTCCAAATCACCTACTAAGATAAAATCAAGATCAAATAGCCTTCCATGTGTTATTTGCTTTCTCTCCTTTCATCACTTTCAGTCAAATTTCCAATGTTGCAGTAATCTTCTTCCTCCAATAGATGGCTCCCCTGCTCCCAATTCCAGCATTCAACAGAGTGTAAAAATCAAAACAGCTGACTTTCAGCCATTCAGTGGGATTGATAATAGAGTTTAGAAAAGCAATTTCTCCCAATAATCACTTTCACAATGTTGTTCGACTTTTCTCAGGCTTTCTGCATTTTAAAACATCCTTTAAATATTTCTTTTGCATCTGAGTCTTTAATCTTTAGTCTTTCTCTTTAATTTTTAGACTTTAATCCTTCTCCATAAATCCAATCACATCTTTCTTACTATTTGGAGATTGTTTTTTAAATTTTTAACTTGGGTTGAATCTTTGGGGTAAAAGTTGGAAGTTATCTCACCCGGTTTCACTGCTGTGCCCATGCACCACTCCAGCACAAGATTTTAGTATATCCCCGTTGTCCCAGCTTGTGACAGACCAAAATGGCCATCGTCTCTGCTGCTGTTCGGGAGAGCTTTCTTCAGATCAACGAGGAAATTGCAGTTTCCTCGTGATCAACGAAGCGCCTCTCCATTCTTCACCACCCCTCCAGGGCGTCTTGACCCTGTAGGGCCTCCCGGCAAGCAGTTGCAGGCTGCATTTCACAGAGCCCGACAGAGCTCCGCTATTTTCCAGCTGTTCCTGCTGCAACATCAACCGGAAGTCAGAAAGAAAGAAAGTTTTGATTAACTACTTTTAATGAATTGGATGTTGTACATTTCTGTTGTACATGTTATGTTATGTTTTCTTTCTAAAAGTTTTATATATGTATCAAATGACTGAGTCTTATTTATAAATTACTGTTGGATAATTTTTTTCAGCCTTGTATGAGTGGTTGGATAGTAGATAGGATAGCTTTATCATCAATGTTATGTTTCCTTTTTATTATTTGATCAAGTTGGATATCATTCTTTTTAGAGTATTAAAGCTGTTTACATGCACCATCAGCCTGCAAAAAACACTCCTATTACAACTGTCCATAGCTTTTTCCATGTGAGGGGCACATGTAGCTTTCACACCACATACTTTTGAAAAAAATCCAAAAAGTAATAACTGGGTCCAGCAAAAAAACTATATGGTTTTATTTTGTTTACATTTTCATGTAATTAAAAGTTTAATGAAACTTAACCTGATTAGTCTCTGGACATGTATTTAATAAAATTTACCTTAACGCAGTGGTTCTCAACCTTCCTAATGCCGTGACCCATTAATACAGTTCCTCATGTTGAGGTGACCCCCAACCAGGGGTGGGTTCTAAATTTTTTTACTATCGGTTCTGTGGGCGTGGCTTATTTTGTGGGCGTGGCTTGGAGGTCATGTGACTGGGTGGGCGTGGCTAGCTGGTCATGTGGCCGGGTGACCATGGCTATGTGTATAGGGACTACCCAGAGGACTGAAAAGTCATTTCTGACAGATACTCACACTTTTTACTGGTCCTCACACTTATGACCATCCTCACATTTATGCTGGTGCAGCATTCTTAACAACCATGTCACTCATTTCACAACTGCTTCTCTTCACCATGGTGATAAGATAGGGCAAAAAACGTAAAATGTGAGGACAGTCGTAAATTCGAGGACTGGTCAAAAGTGCGAGGACCAGTCAAAATAACTTTTTCAGCCCTCTGAGCAGTCCATGTGCACAAAAGGACTACCCAGAGGGCTGAAAAAAGTGATTTCTGACAGGTCCTCGCACTTTTGACCGGTCTTCGCACTTATAACTGGTCATCATGCCCATTGTAGCATTCTTAACAACCGTGTCACTCATTTCACAACTGCTTCTCTTCACCATGGTGACAAGATAGGGCAAAAACGTAAAATGTGAGGATAGTCGTAAGTTCGAGGACTGGTCAAAAATGCGAGGACCAGTCAAAAATAACTTTTTCAGCCCTCTGAGTAGTCCATATGCATAAAAGGATACAGCAATAGAGAGGGATGAAGGAAGGGAAGGGAAATTAGAGTAGGAGTGAGGGTAAGAGAGGGAGGAAGAGAGGAGGAGAAGGAGAAAGGAAGAGGAAGTAGGAAGGAGAAGAAGAGGGGGGGGAAGAGAAAGTAAGAAGGAAAGAAAAGAGAGAGGTGGTAGGTTTGAGGAAAAAGATTGCTGTACAATAAAAAAGATGAAAGGGAAGAAAACCAACCCCAAACAAATATAAAGATATTAAGATAAAGAATGAATTGTTAAACTTTAAAGAATAAAAGAGAACAAATATGAAATAAATAGCAATAATTAGAACACACATACAAACATACAATGTATTTTCTTTGAACAGAATATTTGGCTGGTTCACAAATTTAAACAGCGTTTAGTCATTTCAATTAAATTTACAATTTCTATATTTCCTTTTTGCCATATTTATTCCTCATCTATTTTTTTAAAAAACCAATATTACCCTTCATCCTCATCTCTAATCTTAATCAAATTCAATTTTCCCCTTCTATTCTATATTATACCCCTTCCCATTGTCATCTATTTTTATATCCATCCTCACATTGGTTAATTATGTAATTATGTAATACAGTTGTTTAATACAAATTCAACATTTTAATATAAATCAATTAGTTATATAACTATCTTTTTTGTATATCAATCAATATGAACATGAATATTCCAATTATTTCCATGCAATCCAATTTCTTACAAATCAATTAATTATATTTACCAATAATAATAAACCAAATAATTTCCCCCATATATTCCCCAAACCACAACTTAACCATTTCTGCTTTCAACACAATATACAATTAATAGTGTCTCAATTATTACAATTCTCTAGTTAAATAGAGCTTCTTTTCTTTTGTGTTTTAAAATCTTGAACCTCCTCTTTTGCCCTAAATTTCCCATTGTTTGCAGTTTTGCACCTACCTTTTTTGGTGAGGAAAAAGAAAAAGAAATCTCTCTCTGCCTCATTTTGTCACGTTGCAACAAAGACCCTGCTTTACTTTCAGTTTTGTTTTTTCAGCATAGCTAGGGGAAAAAAATCTGCTCTCTCTTTGCAGCTAGCAACAGAGCCCTCCGCAAAACAGCTGAGAGCAAATCAGCTGAGAGTCCGGAGGCTGATCAAATCAACTTATGGTAATTAACCTATGCTGAAGCTGAAAGGGGCTGTTTTTTCTATTTTTGCAGGCACCGGTCTTCTCATTTGTTTTCTTTTAACACTGATCAGCTGTAGGGCGGCCCTTTGAAGCCCCGCAGCAAGAATTTAAAGTTTTTTTTCCCTCTAGCCATCAGCTGGGACTCCGGAGGCAGCAATAGATTGGGAGTGGGTGGGGTAAGCGAACGGCGAACAGTGATCCAACAGAGGCAGAGGGTGAGGGTGAGTGAAGGTGGGGGGGGGGGGCGAGAGAGGGCTTTGGCAACCCCTGTGAAATGGCCATTCGACCCCCAAAGGGGTTGCGACCCCCAGGTTGAGAACCGCTGCCTTAATGCTTAAAAACACAATTTAGTAATATATTATATCTACCGGTATTTAAAACAGATAATCCTCGACTTATGACCACAATTGAGCCCAAAATTTTTGTTGCTAAGCAAAACATTTGTTAAGTGAATTTTGCCCCATTTTATGACCTTTCTTGCCACACTTGTTAATTGAATCAGGCTTCCCCATTGATTTTGCTTGTTGGAAGGTCAGAAAAAGTGATCACATGATCCCAGGACACTGCAACCATCATAAATATGAGTCAGTTGCCAACTTCTAAATTTTGATCACATGACCATGGAGATGCTGCAATGGTTGTGTGAAAAACGGTCATAAATCACTTTTTTCAGTGCCATTGCAGCTTTGAATGGTCATTAAATGAACTATTGTAAGTCAAGGACTACCTGTAAAGGATAATACTACCGTTTTTCTCCAAAAAGAATGCCGGGTCTTAGTTTCTTTTGACCCCCGAAAAAATGGCTAGGCCTTCTTTTTGGAGGTTTCTAATTATTGACTCACCTCGCAGCGGTGGCACCTACAGACCTGCCCAGCAGGAGCCTGCTGCTGGCCCACTTCTTCTGCAGCACGCTTGCCGCCACTCGCACGCATCGCCCTGGCCTCCATTTTGCTTTCAGATGCCTGCTGGAAGGCAGCTCTGTTATTGGCTGCAGATGCCTTCTGGCAGACATCTAAAGCCAAAATGGAGGCCGGGGCGATACGTGCGACTGGTGGCAAGTGGCCGCAGAAGAAGCGGCTGCAGAAGAAGGTGAGGCAGGTGTCGGGGTGTGTGAGGCCTGGTAAATAGGGCACCTCCACCCTAGATTATTTTTTACCTGTGTGCCTCGCCCCACCCCCTGCACCCCGGGGTGGGTGGGGTCTTAATTAGGGCTTTTTGTGGGTGGAGCTTAATTTGATTGCATGCGCTCAAAAATGTGATAGGGCTTCTTTTCAAGGTGGGTCATCTTTTTGGAGAAACACGGTAATTCTAATACACATTTGAAAAATATATTAATATAAAAACATAATTATAAATATAATGCAATTGTATAGATACTGTAAGTATACAACTTTGCTGTACTTTGAAGTCAAATAATCAAAAGTCAATATACAGTCAGGTCCAGAAATATTGGGACATCAACACAATTCTAACATCTTTGGCTCTATACACCACCACAATGGAGTTGGAATGAAACAAACACAATGTGCGTTAACTGCAGACTGTCAGCTTTAATTTGAGTGTATGTACATCCAACTCAGGTGAATGGTGTAGGACTTACAGCAGTTTGCATATGCGTCTCCCACTTGTTAAGGGACCAAAAGTAATGGGACAGAATAATAATCATAAATCAAACTTTCCCTTCTTAATACTTGGTTGCAAATCCTTTGCAGTCAATCACAGCCTGAAGTCTGGAACGCATAGACATCACCAGACGCTGGGTTTCATCCTGGTGATGCTCTGCCAGGCCTCTACTGCAACTGTCTTCAGTTCCTGCTTGTTCTTGGGGCATTTTCCCTTCAGTTTTGTCTTCAACAAGTGAAATGCATGCTCAATGGGATTCAGGTCAAGTGATTGACTTGGCCATTGCATAACATCCCACTTCTGTCCCTTCAAAAACTCTTTGATTGCTTTTGCAGTATGCTTTGGGTCATTGTCCATCTGCACTGTGAAGCGCCGTCCAATGAGTTTTGCAGCATTTGGCTGAATGTGAGCAGATAATATTGCCCAAAACACTTCAGAATTCATCCTGCTGCTTTTGTCAGCAGTCACATCATCAATAAATACAAGAGAACCAGTTCCATTGGCAGCCATACATGCCCACGCGATGACACTACCACCACCATGCTTCACTGATGAGGTGGTATGCTTAGGATCATGAGCAATTCCTTTCCTTCTCCATACTCTTCTCTTCCCATCACTCTGGTACAAGTTGATCTTGGTCTCATCTGTCCATAGGATCTTGTTCCAGAACTGTGAAGGCTTTGTTAGATGTTGTTTGGCAAACTCTAATCTGGCCTTCCTGTTTTTGAGGCTCACCAATGGTTTACATCTTGTAGTGAACCCTCTGTATTCACTCTGGTGAAGTCTTCTCTTGATTGTTGACTTCGACACACATACACCTACCTCCTGGAGAGTGTTCTTGATCTGCCAACTGTTGTGAAGGGTGTTTTCTTCACCAGGGAAAGAATTCTTCGGTCATCCACCACACTTGTTTTCCATGGTCTCCCAGGTCTTTTGGTGTTGCTGAGCTCACTGATGCATTCCTTTTTTTTGAGAATGTTCCAAACAGTTGTTTTGGCCACGCCTAATGTTCTTGCTATATCTCTGATGGGTTTGTTTTGTTTCTTCAGCCTAATGATGGGTTGCTTCACTGATAGGGACAGCTCTTTGGATCTCATCTTGAGAGTTGACAGCAACAGATTCCAAATGCAAATAGCACACTTGAAATGAACTCTGGGCCTTTTATCTGCACATTGTAATTGGGGTAATGAGGGAATATCACACACCTGGCCATGGAACAGCTGAGAAGCCAATTGTCCCATTACTTTTGGTCCCTTAACAAGTGGGAGGTACATGTACAAACTGCTGTAAATTCTACACAGTTCACCTGAGTTGGATGTACATACCCTCAAATTAAAGGTGACAGTCTGCAGTTAACGCACATTGTGTTTGTTTCATTCCAACTCCATTGTGGTGGTGTATAGAGCCAAAGAAGTTAGAATTGTGTTGATGTCCCAATATTTCTGGACCTGACTGTATAAAAGGATGGTGATAGAGCCAAATTTACACCTGCTTCAACCAGGAATTGGTGAATTTCTTTAGAGAATTCTTGAAGCTAGGACTGCAATTCATTCTCTTGGCTTGTTATCACACCAATTTAGGCTTGGCTACAAAATATATTCAGGACTATATAACATTAAAAGCTTGACAGGCTTGATATTACTTTATTGCAGAGAAAGAAGAGAAAGGCCACTCATTATATGGCCATCTATTTCACACTAATAACTCTGGGTGATGTGCAAAGGTTAAAACCCAACAATTAGAACAATAATCCATGGTGCCCCAGGTAAAGAGCATCCCACAAGCGAACTGGTAGCAACAGATTTTGAAACCCGCCTCTGCTTCACAGCCTTAAAAAAGGCAAATAAGGCTTGGGCTGTCAAGATCTCAATTCCACTGAAATGATTAGAGCTGAATTTATTTTGGCCAGTTTTTCAGGAGACTCATGGATGGTGAAGTGGGGTAGGGGAAAACATGGTTGTGTATTATAATGCATCATCCCGACTACGTATCACTGCATTAAAGAGACATTTCTATTTCTGCCAACAGAGACTCTTTCCCCTGTTGCGAATTAAGGCTTCAAGGGCCTGGGGAAATGTGCATGTTAATTGCATTCAATTAATACCACATTTAATTTTGTCCTGAATATACTGGAGCAAGTTTCAAGTTGATCAGAAATAAAAGGTCATAGGTGATGCCTTTTAGGTGCTAATATTAGGAATAAATTTTTCACTGTTTATAATCAGAGAAAGGTGTCCCTTGGCATTTCATGATCTGCACTTGCTTTCAAAGGATTCTTCGTGAGCCAGTTGGGAGGATCTTCTTTGCAGGTACTGAAACAGCTTCAGAATGGAGCGGCTACATAGAAGGGGCTGTTCAGGCTGGAGAAAGAGCAGCCAGAGAGGTACAGAGTCTGTTGCATCAAATAATTTTACTTAGATTTTCTTTGTTTTTTTTGTAAAGTTTTTTTTTTTTTTACACAAACACACACACAGACATACAATGTATTTTTGCTGAACAGAGTATTTGGCCAGTTAACAAATTTAAACAATTTTTAGTCCTTTCAACTAAAATTACAATTTCTATACCTCCTTTTTGCCATAATATTTATTTTCATCTATTTTTTTACCAATATTACTCTTCATTTTCATCTCTAATTTTAACAATTTTACTTAGGTTTTCATGATGATTCTTTGGGTGAATTTCCAACCCAAAGCATCCTCATGTTGGTTTGCATGACTGCCACTTAAAGATAAATGATTTATTAATCTTGTAAAAAAACAAGCTATATAAAATGACCAGGCTGAGTTTGAGGGAGGAGTCAAACAGATCATTAGTCATGATGCAATAAATAAATCTTTATACTCATTTGAACTACCTGAATCTCCTGATTTCCCCAGTGCTTGACAAAAGCAAGCAAAAAACATTTAATATCAAAAACTACAACCAAATTTACAGAAGCTGGATGTCATATGTGCATTTAGGACTTAATTCAGTCCCAGAAAATGGCAAATAGAGAGTTCTTAAAAAGGCATTAGAGTATCAAAAGAGGCGGTTTTACTGAACTCCTTCTGGATATTCTGGCCTGGCTAAATAAGACTCTAAAGTTCTGATGGTGATAGGATAACTTCCAGTGTTGATGGGTAAGGAAAAACCTCCAATATAAAAGAGAAAATGAAACTGAATACTAGAAATGGAGATAAACCTGCATTATTCTGAATTAGTCATTCAAAACAGTCTATTTTAAAAATAAATAGATTGCTATGTGGATGAGGAATCTAATCTCATGCTTGTTGATGAGAAAAAAGGATTTGCGCAAAAGAATCTGACCTGACTTGTCTTGATGGCTTTTTAAATGAAGTTGTACTTTTATAAAATTCCCATTTATGTCAATAAGATTTGCATATTTGCATATTTACAGTGCCTATAATGCAGCATTTCCGAACTTTGGCCAGAAGCAGGGTATCTTTTAAATTGGCCACTGGAAAAGCTTTTGGTCTATTTTTTCTATATAAGACTTAAATCATCTCTTTTTAGGTACTACAGTCGATGGGAAGATATTCAGGAGAAATATGGAAATCTGAACCAGAATCACCTGTAAGTATGTCTATGGAGATTCTCAGTCATCCAGGTCATGGTTGTCCAAAAGGTGCTTTTTCAAGAGGCAACTGGATTTTCTGGTTTGTTTTTTTTTTAAAGATGTTTCACTTCTCATCCAAGAAGCTTCTTCAGCTCTCAGAAGCTCTGAAGAAGCTTTTTGGATGAGAAGTGAAATGTCTTCAAAGAGAAACCAGAAAGTCCAGTTGCCTCTTGAAAAAGCATCTTTGGGACACCTGTAAGTTTGCAATGTTTTATTTGATGTGGAAGAAGATGTGAAATTAATACCCAGAATTAGAGAAGCGGCCGTGTGGAAAGGAATGGTTTGGTTCTCACTCTGTTTTGAACTTAATAAATGAACTACAGGCAGGCCTTGATTTACGACCATTTGTTTAGCAACTGTTCAAAGCTAAAGCATGACCTCATCACGTAGTGATGGAAGTTCCAGTCCCAACTGTAGTCATAAGTCAAGGACTATCTGTATAGTAAGTTAATTATAGGAATGTAATTTAAATCTCACCAACAATATGCCTTTAACACAGGGGTGAAATGCTCCCGGTTCGGATCGGATCATCTGATCTGGTAGCGATGGCGGTGGGTGGTTTGGAGAACTGGTAACAAAAATCCCTGCCCCCCTCCACCACCATGCCCAGCTGAGCCGCACGATCATCAGAGGCTTTTTTTAAAAACTTTTAAAAGCATTTTTTCTACAACTTCTTCCGCTGAAAAAATGCTTTTAAAAGTAAAAAAAAAGCCTGTGATGATCGTGTGGCTCAGCTGGGATCTCAGAGGCTTTTTTCTGCAACCTCTTCAGTGGAAGAGGTGGTTAAAAAAATGCTTTGAAAAGGCTCTGATGATCAGGCAACACAGCTAGGATCATCAGAGAGACTTTTAAAGCATTTTTTTCTGCAACCTCTTCCGGGGAAGAGGTGGTTAAAAAAATGCTTTGAAAAGGCTCTGACGATCCCAGCTGTGTTCCTGATTGGCAGAGGCTTTTCAAAGCATTTTTTTGCATTAGCAGAAAAAATGCTTTGAAAAGTTAAAATAAAAAAAAAAAGTTGGCCACGCCCACCCAGTCACATTACCCCCCCCCCAAGCCACGCCCACAGAACCGGTAGTAACAAATTTTACATTTCACCCCTGCTTTAACAGTAGCCATGATAGCCCATATTGTAAAAATCACCAATTGGTTTGACCTGCTGAATAGTTTTTGTAAATAAATATGATTTTCACACCCCCTGGAGTGAAGTTAGCTCCAACCCCTCTGACCTTCCACAAAGACTTGAAGACCTGGCTCTGCCAGCTGGCTTGGAGCTCCCATTGGGGGGGAGGGGTGTCACATTGGAGGTAATTGTCAAACTGATAACAGATCCCACCTTCTCCCTTCCTCATCCTACTCCCTCCCCATCTTTACTTAAGGTTGTGTATTTATCTTTTTTATTACAGTGGTTCTTTGGTACTCCTTGTTAATTGGTTCCAGGAAGTGTGATGAGTACCAAGAACGATGAGTACCAGATTTCCCCCATAAGAATAATATAGCGAGTCACAAGGTAGCTGACACCTACAATTTGTAGCTTGTGCGTTGAGTACCAAACAAACGATGAGTATTGAGCAAAATTTTCACATCAAAATGCATTAAGTACAGATCAAAGCAGTTGAGTACTAAGATACCACTGTATTTAGGTACTATTGTGTACACGTTTTGTAAAAATTTATCGTTTAATATTGTAAACCACCCAGAGTTACAGAAATAAATAAATAAATAAATATTTTTTTTATTTCACTCCTCCAACATGAATAAAAGCTATAGTACAATTTTCAAAATGAGTGTGTTTAGATTAGGGTTGTGCAAAAATGATTTGAAAGAAGGTTTTTGGACCTTGTGTGCGCACAGGACCTTCTCTCGTTATTCACTGATGCAGCCTGACTTTCAGGCTTCCATGAAAAACTGTTTAGAATCCTTACAGGTAGTCCTCGACTTACAACACCTCAAAAGAAAAAAATGTCAGCACAAATGTGCAGCAAATAGCCATGGCAGAAGTTGGGTCCTAAAGGGAGTCAGATAGGCAGCACAAAGCAAACACCCAAAAATGTTACTTACAAGTTATCTTTGAAATTATGACTGCTACACACAGGCACACACATACAGTCATGTGACTGCATTTTACGCATTTGGTAATCAGCTACATATATGATCAGTTGCAGTATCCTGCGGTCATATAACCAGAGTTTGTGATGTATTTGCAGATTTCTGAGTTTTTGCTGATTAATAACTATGGTGACTCACTTTATGAGACTTTAATAAAAACTGAGTTTTTATTAAATTGAGTTAGGTGACATGGTAACTTGACTTAAAACAGTTCATTTAGTGACTGTTTGAAGTTACAACAGCACTGAAAAAACTGATTTCTGGCCGTTTTTCACAGTTGTGACCTTTGCAGCATCCCCATGATCATGTGCTCAAAGTTCATATGCTTGCCAACTGGTTCATACTTATGACCGTTGCAGCATCCCAGGGACATGTGATCCTGTTTTGCAACCTTAGGACAAGCAAAATCAATGGGGAAGCAAAATTCACTTAAGAAATAGGTTAATAATGTATCAACTGCAATGATTCACTAAACAACTTTGGCAAAAATGTCATAAAATGGGGCAAAACTCACTTAACAAAAGTTTCATTTAACAACAGAAATTTTGGGCTCAATTGCGGTCATAAGTTGAGGACTACCCGTATTAGAGTCATGCAGAATTCTAAAAAAAAAAATAGATTTTTTTTTAACACAGAACAAAGTTGCTCACATGAGGCCTGAAACATTCACATCATTATCTGCACTATGCACTATCCTGTCATGGATAATTTTTAGATGCCTTGCATGCCTTGCATGCAACTGCCACATGAAAAACTGCAGATGCTTAAAGGAATAGGCAGGCATTATATTGGCATCCCTTCTAGTCTTTAGCATCTTTTGAAGATCAGATCCAAACCACTGCATATCCTTATAGCACTTAGCAATAGTACTTATATACCGCTTCACAGTGCTTTACAGCCATCTCTAAGTGGTTTATAGAGTCAGCATATTGCCCCCAACAATCTGGGTCCTCATTTTACCCACCTCAGAAGGATGGAAGGTTGAGCCATCCTTGAGCCTGCTGAGATTTGATCTGCCGAACTGCTGGCAGCTGGCAATCAGCAGAAGTAGCCTGCAGTACTGCATTCTAACCACTGCGCCACCACAGCTCTTATAACTTTTCTACATTTTTTTTTCCAATAATGTGATTGGAATTCCTAAAATAGTGTGCCTTAATCCTGATGCAGTATCTTAAATATGGCATCACATCATAGATTTGCCTAATTATATTTGGTGGTGGTTGTTTTATTTTCAACCCATTTCCTATTTTGCTTTTATTTTTAACAGCATAACACTCAATTTCATTTACTCCTTTTCATGTTTAACATAATATAATTTGCCAAATCCCTCTTAATATTATCCTTTTTCCTGTTGTTAAAGAGCAAGGTTTGAAAAATTAATCTACATTGTTATTATCTACTTTAGATGCAATTCCTTCATTCTGTTAGAATTTCTTCTGTGAAATGAATATTTGTCATATTTGTAAAAAGTATCTCCCACCTAATAATGAACAAATTTATTTCCTTTGTGTGTTTATTTATTAAAACTAAGATTTAATAGCACATCTTTAAAATCCCAAATCACTTTACAGAAATATAAAAACAAGAATAAGAATGCAATAAAAGAAAATGAAAAAAGAATAATTAGAAAAAGAATAAATCACAACATTAAAAACAAGAAACAAATATTCAATAGGGTCATTGCTTGGGGAAAGCCAACACTACTGTGCTGGGCCTTGTGCGCAATATGAACATCATTCCACAGGGCAGGAGCTACCTCAGGAAAGATCTAGTTCCATGTTGCTACCTAATGATATTTTGAAGGCCCAGGAATGGAGAACAGAATTCCTCTGAGGACTAAAAGTGTCTGGGAGTGTGATTGAAAATCTCTCTCTTTCTCCCTCCCTCCCTTTTGCTCTCTCTCTCTCTCTCCATATGCACATTTATTATTATCTGCAACAGCTCCTTAAATATTTAGAATTGCTTGAAACATGAAACTTGCAGTCAGAAGGATAGTAACATCTAACCCTGAGGTAGCCAATTAATTTTCACAAGAGGCCACCTGAGAAACTGGAGCTAAGGTAAAGGACTGAACCAAAAGGGCTGTGAAGGTCCGTAGGCACGCACCGACACACATATGTAAATTGAAAAAAAATACCCAACAGTCACCTTCAAAATAAAAGCTATGCAGTTGTGTTATGTGTATGGCATAGACATGTTTACATTTGATTTCGAATTTCTGTTTGATCTCCTGCAGACCTGATATGGACAGCCACAGAGCCAGATATATACCCCAGGCCCAGGGGTCTTAAATGCTCAGGTCTGATCTGACCTAATATATTAGTCTGGGTAGTGTTCTGCTTGAAAAATGTGGACCACTCTACTTTAATCATTCCTACTCCAACAATATTAGAAAGCTGTAATTGTTTAACATAAGAAAGCTGTATTTGTTGTTGTTTTCTGGTACTCAATCTTGAAAAAAAAATAACCCTCTGAATGTTCTTCCATCCAGGATGTGCCAGCCCTGCCAATAATTACAACATTTTGGGAAAGGAACTTGCCTTCTGTTCCTGGACTACTGAAATTGATGGGGTTCTCTGTTTTCTTTACATCAGTGGCTGCAGCTGGGCTCTTTGCCTATAAAAAGGATCTCTTAGTGCGAAACTGAAAACAGATGTACTAATAGGAAACTATACAATTTGGTCTGCAAATTTATATACATTAACACAATCATTTCCCTCTCATTTAGACTAGGGGTCCTAAACCTCTGGGCTGCAGCCCACTATTGGGCCATGGCCTATTTGGAGCTGGGCCGCATGACCAGTGGCCAGCACATGTGTGCAGACTGCTTGACTTGTGTGAGCAGTGGGCTGAAACGTTTGCGCACATACACACACAGCTCAACTTGCACAAGTCAAGCTGTGCACACACGTGCGTGTATGCTGGCGTGTATGCTGGCCCGCCACTTGCACAAGTGTGCCTGTACCCCGACCTGCCGCTCGAACAGCCCAGTTCTCCTCTCCCCACTCCCAAATAGGCCGCGGCTACAAAGGCTGGGGACCACTGATTTAGACTGTTGATTGCAATTATCTGTATTCTCCCTGTTCAAGGTGTCTTGGAAATTGTGATAGAGTCCAACATCTGTTTCCAAAGGCACTATACAATTTGGCTACTATAAAAATAATATAGTTGCCTGGAATCCAATTAAAGGTAGTACTCAAGCTATTCATTCACCCTTACATCCAACCATAGAGACTCTGCAGCATCTCCTGCTTCTCTCCCCATCCCCATCCTGCCTGGGAATCTACATTTCTTCAAGAAAGAAAGCAAAAAAAGCTCGGACAGATTTATTGATCTTTCTTCCTCCACCATTAAAGGCTGAAACTAAACTCTCTGTCTTTGCCCTCCAATCTCAATTCCTTTTAACCACCTGATTTGTTAAATTTACTGCATGCCTAGAAAGAGGGGGACAAAACCTGCAAATTAGCTACCTTGATGAGGGACTACGAGGCTGAAGAATATTGTAGAGAAAGGGAAGGAAGCAAGCAAAGAAAATGTTTTTGCAGCTTATTTATCTTCTGGAGCTGAAGAAAAAATTCGGCTCAAAAGGAAAAAATGGCAGCATAAATGTGCAGCAAGTGGCCATGGCAGAAGTTGGGTCCTAAAGGGAGTCAGATAGGCAGCAAAAAGCAAGCACCCAAAAATGTTACAAGCTATCTTTGAAATTATGACTGCTACACACAAGCACACTCATGCAGTCATGTAATTGCATTTCACACATTTGGTAATCAGCTGCATATATGATCAGTTGCAGTATCCTGGTCACATAACTAGAGTTTGTGATGTTTTTACAGAATTCTGAGTTTTTGCTGATTAATAACTATGGTGACTCACTTTATGAGAGTCACCAATAAAATTGAGTTAGGTGACATAGTAACTCACTTAACGATTGCAACAACTTATAACCAAAATTCCAGGATTGGTTGTGGTGGTTAAGTGAGGATTACTTGCATATCTTAATCAGTTATCCCATTATTTAGGAGCAGTGAAGAGCAAATGGAATAATTTTTGAACCTCTACCTGGCCTATGAAACAGATGTCTAGGATTTCACTAACTTTTTAGGGTGTCAAGAAATATCTTTCATACACTTTTTTTTTCTTAAATATGATAAATGGATATATGTTGGCTTTTAAAAAAATTGAATACCTTTTCTCAGGATTATAATATCCTTCTTAAAAATATAATCAGATCTAAATCTTGCTTGAGTGACAGACATAAAAGGATATAATTTTGAAAAATGTTTAGCTATAGTATTAGAATGTTTTTCCCTGTCTTCTGCTTCCTCCAAACTGCTTTTGGATGAGATCCCCTTCATTTCCTATCTGACATTAATGTATTTTGATTGAAAGGATTTCTTAATATCATGTTTTGGCTCACTCCTCATTTGATAATATTCAAATGGCTGGTGGAAGTACTGGAGGAAAGGGCCCTGAGGCCATTATTCATTCTATGGCAGAAAATGGGACAAATCTCTTAAATAATGAGTTAGTTAACCATAGAAATTAATAGGAAATTAAGAATGTTGGTTTTCTCCTTCAGAAAGTGAGTAACCTCTTGCAAAGTTTGGATATACCATTATCAGGATCTTTTCAGTCTTTTTCAGGATCAGGACTGCTGCTTAAAGGGTTAAAAATCAGAATAAGCTGCAGCCCAGAAGTAGTTATCTTTCTTTTTGACTCAGAGAATCCAGATTTTGCACATTCCTATTTTAGGATTACTTCTTCCTAACAGTTCCATAATTTCTAAAGGGTGTGCTGTATAATATTTTTTACTAATATACAATACCATAAACAAAGGAGCATAATGTATGCCTTCTGCTGCTGTTGTCTGATATATGTTCTTACTATTCCATAATTTTGTGAGCCTCTTGTGATTACAAAGAAAAGAACAAGACTTCAGGATTCTCCCCAGGATCCAATTTCAGGTAAATAAAATTCCTTTTCCCATTAGCTTTCTTTCCTAACACTTCGTCAGTAGACTTTATTGGAGACTTTTTCTATGTTCTTTCAAGAATCAGGAGCAGCTTTTAAAAGGAGAGATCTCTCTACCTCCCAACTCTGTGGCTTATGAATTAAGTCTGCAAAAGATTTACAGAGTTTCATTTTAATAGCTGACACTTCGCCTTCAGGAAAAATAGTTAACTATTCTGTTCAGGACTAGTGTACTATTTTTGTATCAGGCTTTATTGATGGAAGATGTAATAAAACTATTTAAATGTTGGATATTAATGAAATAATGAAACAATCCTATATGAAGTGGGAAGTGATATAATAGTTCCTTGCTGATTTTTTTACATATAAATTAATGAAAAGATGGTGGCAGAAAGTGAACGTATTCTTTTTCCTTGTTCCAACAGCTATTTGCTAATATAGTGGTCTGATCCTGGAAGTTCTTGAGAAAGATAGAAGTTGATTTTATTTCTAGAAAAAAATGTTTTGAGTTATACTGCTAGGTATAGATTTATATGAATGAAGTGATTTGCACATATAACAAACTTCTAAGGTAGATTTGTCCTCTTTCTATTTGTCTCTTCTTGGATTGCCCTTCTCAGATAATTGCATCTGAGGGGCTGCAGACTTCATAGAAAGCAGTTTCATTGAAATGGATCTCATTCTGAATAAAGATACTTGGAATTGCACTGTTTAGTATTTTTAAATTAAGTACTCTAGTAATCAGATGCTACAATTGGACATCATACTGAAACAGATTTAATAAAAGTGTGCCTTCTCAGGGTCAGTTAAAGTCTTCATTTAATGTAGCATAATACAATGCTTTTTTTCTAAGTGTCTTTCTCATAAAAAGTAATAGTGTAGATCAGGACTCAAGAAATTTAAGATAATTGGGGGTGGCAGTAAGGAAGAAGCCTCTTAATTTCAGTGAGGTGGTTTTAATATGCTGGTTATAGATATAGAAGGTCAGGATTAGTTTGGGTCCCATGTTTACTTCTCAGTCTAAAAAAAGAACAAGCATTGTCTGTTACCTTGTAATAAAAATAACATTCTAGCTTTTTATAGCCTTATGCCCTTTAATGGTTTGAGGACTAACAGTAACTTTATAAGATGGCTGAAATCTGGGAATTTCAAGAATTATCTGCAGAGTGCCAGGCTAGAGTAGCCTGGGTTATCCTATGGTATGTTGTGACTAGCAGAGGCTTTCCAAATTCTCAAACACAGCATTCTCCCAAATCTGTTAAATGAAATGTTATATGTAACATAAAAGTTACACGAGATGGACCTTAGAGTCCTAGTAGACAGTCACTTAAATATGAGTCAGCAGTGTGTGGCAGCAGCCAAAAAAGCTAATGCAATCCTTGGTTGTATAAATAGAGGCATATAATCAAAATCACATGAAGTATTAGTACTGCTTTATAAAGCCTTAGTAAGGCCACAGCTGGAATACTGCATCCAGTTTTGGTCACATTATAAAAAAGATGTTGAGACTTTGGAAAAAGTGCAAAGA